TTAATTAATACTAACTAGGTATAGAAGTCCAACTTAGTTTTAAGTTTGCAGAAAACTCCCTGAGATAAGGATTGTGGGATTTTTATGCTCAATACGCACCAATCAAATTTAGAGCTTATTTGGTATGACTTGTGAGAGTTTTTACTTTTTTAGTACTGTTATGAGTGATAAATTTAAATTTTTATTAAAGGAAAAATATAATTTTAACTTTTATAAAGGTAAAAAAGTGAGTGAAAAGTAAGTAAAAAAAGAATTTATGAAAAATTTGGATTTAAAACTTTTGAACTTTTACTGTTTAAGAGTTTTTTAAGATTAAAAAAAATTTAAAAGTGTAAGTTTTTAAAAGAAAAATTTTAATTCATAAAATATAAATAATATCTAAAAATTGAAAATTTTAGAAGCCACACCAAACAAGCCCTTAAATTTGAACAGAGGGAGAAGGAGACAAAAAGGATTAAACTCTAGTTGTATGAAGAGATTATCCATATAACGACTACACGAGTTACACACCGAGGAAGGGCTGCGGGATTTTTTTACCGAACACTTACTGATAAAAAAATTTGATCACGTTTAACATTTTTGAAAACTATTGGAATACCTTGTATTATACATTACCCACCGTTGATCTTATACTGATCTATTGGTCCAAAAATATCTCTTCCACGTTCTGAACATGACACATGACGAGCAAATGATGGGTCTTGATTCTTCTGGTCATTATCATATATATTTTTTTAGGCCATGGTATGTTGTGGATCATGTACCTTTGTTTTTCACGTGCTTGGTGCCCCACTGTGTTTAATTTATGAAGTCGTACGATTTCATCTTTGCTATTAGAGTGTACTTTGAAATGATTGCATCTGTAACTCATTATCCAATGGTTATAAATTTATTTGTAAGGTACTTTTTTCAATTTGATGTTGGGGTTCGATTCTTATCACTCCCAAAATTAAATTGTAACTTTATTCAAAAAAAAAAAAAAAACAGTTAGAAATGATATAACAATTTTTTGTTTGGCCTTAGGAAGTAGTTAATGGTAAAATTTTTGGACCGGATTGTAAGGATCTTATTCATGC